GCTCAAGCAATCCTTCTGCCTCAGCCTCCCAAGTAGTAGGGACTACAGGCATGCGCACCATGCCCGGCTAATTTTTTCTTTTATATACTTGTTGCCATTAATTTAGTTATTGAGTAAATCAATAGTTTTTACTTACGTTTACTTGGGGAAAAAACAAAAACAGAACTGTTTAGTCATATAAGATAAAATGAAAACTAGAACAACTAAAAAGTACCTTTTAGTCTCATTTTTTATTTCATGTTGTTCTCTTTTCTTTTCCATCATTTTCCCCCATCTATTCTTTGGCAGATCCCTCTGAGGCAATGGTATTGCATGCTGGACATAAAGGTCAGTAAGATTGTCTTTGTTTATTCTTACGTCATTTTCAACAGCTATGTTCTTCTGTGGAAAAGGAAACAAAAGTGATTTCAAAACAACATTTTTCATTTTAATAACCACCTTACCCACCATGATAAAACACTACTACTTAAATAACAAATTATAAAACCATATTCACAATCACACACATGCTTAAAAGTCCTGTAAGGTACTGCAAGAAGTGGTATTACACATAGGTTACGCTCTGTAAATATTCATCTTAAAGACAATGGTCACATTTCCTCAGGATGACAAAGACTGCTGCCTACAACTGCTTGCCAACGCCCCATTTCCAATAACATCATCATAATCTATAAAAGGGAATGAAGGCTGGGAGAGTATTATACATCTATCAGGGGAGCAGGTTAGTTATCATGGAAGTAGTTTCCTGATTACAGGAAAAAAAAAAAGTTCAGCCTGATTTCCCATCTTGTATATGTAGTGCTGCCTTCTGCCTTTTGACATGGGATGGCCTCTTGAACTTCTTTACCTCCAGAACCGTGAGCCAAATAAACATCTGTTCTTTATAAATTACCTAGTCTGTTCTATTTTGTTGTATTAATAGCAGCAGAAAACAGAATAAGACAGAGGGATCATCTATAAGAAAAATCCACTCTAAGGCCAGGCTTGGTGGCTCACGCCTGTAATCCTTGCCACTCTGGGAGGCCGAGGCAGGTGGATATCTCAAAGTCAGGAGTTAGAAACCAGCCTGAGCAAGAGTGAGACCCCGTCTCTACTAAAAAAAAATAGAAAGAAATTAATTAGCCAACTAAAAATATATTTAAAAAAATTAGCCAGGCATAGTGACACATGCCTGTAGTCCTAGCTACTCAGAAGGCTGAGGCAGGTGGATTGCTTTAGCCCAGGAGTTTGAGGTTGCTGTGAGCTAGGCTGATGCCACGGCACTCACTCTAGCCCAGGCAACAGAGTGAGACTCTGTCTAA